TTCATATCATCACTCATATTCATCCTTGCCTTTAAAATCAGAATCTTTGGGGGCCCCCTTCTTGCGAAGGACACCCCTGCTTGTACCCTCAATCTTATATACCTACATTCCTTTTCTGCTTCTTCTTTCCTTCTTTCTGTCTTTATTCTCTTCTTCTGCTGGTCCTTTCCCCTTATCCTTGCCAGAGTCAACCCTTGCCAACCATCTGGGCTCATGATCCCATCCTTTTCTTTTTTTTGCTAGGCAATGGGGTTAAGTGACTTACCCAGGGTCACACAGCTAGTAAGTGTTATGTGTATGAGGTTGGATTTGAACTCAGGTCCTCCTGACCCCAGGGCTGGTGCTGTATCCACTGTGCCACTGAGCTGTCCCCAGATTCCATCCTTTTCCATCTCCTCTAGGAGTTTGCACTATGGACATCTCTCTCTCCGTCTTTCTTCATTTTCTCTTTCTTCACTTTCTCCCCAACCCACCCACCCAATCTCTTCTTATGTATTGGTGTCTTCAGCATTGCCTAGAGCAATGGCCAGATCTCCTCCATCCTTAAAATTAAAAAAAATAAAAACAAAAACACCCAATAGTTTAACTTTGCCATCCCCTCAAGCTATCATCCTATATCTCCCATTTCCTTTCACAAACAAACTTGGAGAAAAAAGACATCTCATTGTCTATTCTCCCAGTCCCACAACTTGACTAAAATTGCTGTCTTCAAAGTTACCAAAAATCTCTCTAATTGCTAAAACCAATGACCTTTTTTTAAAAAAAGTCTCATTCTTCTTGATCTTGCTATAACTTTTAACACTTGTTGATCTCCCCTCCTAGATGCTGTTTTGTCCCTTGGCTTTTATTCAGTCCTATTTAATTCAATAAACAATTATGCACTATTATGTGCTGGGCATTGTGCTAAGCAGTGGGGATACAGTTTTGTTTTTTTTAAAACAGCCCCTGCCCTCAAGGAACTTACAATCTAACGGTGGAAGATAACACACAGAAGGAAGGTGGAAAAGGGGAAGGACTTGGGTGGACACACACCAGAGGGTACCTGGCTTGGACATCTTGTTCCATTGAGTTGAAACCAAGCACAGCTACAGATGGAAAGTGGAGAGAAACTCCCTAGCCTGAAATTTAGGGCCCTCAAAATCTACTTTCAGCCTGTCTTTCTAAGTTTACGTCCCACAACTCACACATAGTGTGAACAAACTTTATATTCCAGCCACACTGGACTGCTAGGTATTCCTACTTCTGATACTTAGAGCTGTGCAACCTTGGACAAGTCAGTTTACTTCCCTGGATCTAAGTTTCTTTATCTGTAAAATGAGAGAGTTGAAATAAGTAGCCTCTAAGAACTCTTCCATTTCTATGATCCTGTGCTTCCTCAATTCTTCTCCTTCATCTTCCAACTTCCATGCATTTTGCACAAGCTTCTCAACTGCTCCTGTGCCTAAAATGTACTCCCTTCTCCTCTTTCCCTGTTGAAATCCACCTTTTCTTTCAAAGATTAGTTCAAATGTCCCCTCTCCCACCGAGCCTTTCCCAGTCTCCACCACCACTTTTGTCCAGAGAATTATAGGGATTCAGAGCGTGGCTTTAAAGCAATATGTTGACATGTTCCATCCACGAACAAGGACAGAGTTGATTTGATCAGGGTTTATGATTCCCAAATCATAGTTTTATCCCCAGGTAAAAGTGATTTTGCTTCCTTAAATTTTCTAAGAGCACTTTGCTTTGATTTCTCCTTTGCTCCTATCATATTCTACTTTGTATCATACTCCTTCTTATGTGTGGCAAATCCCTTCTACTGCCCATTTTCATTAGATTGTAAGCCCCTTAAGGACAAAAACTTTCAGTTTTCCTCTTTGTTTTCTGAGGTACTAGCACAGTGCCTTGCACACTTAATAAATTTGCTTAATAAATATATTTTGAATTGATTAACTCAAGGATACTTTAGAGTAAGGATGTTTGAAGATGGAGCAGAGGTCAAGAAGCCACAAAGACCCCTGCTAGAAGAAAATGGTCCTATTCTCATTGGAAGTTAGGAACTCAAGACTGTCCATCAGGTCTGAGCCCCTAGAGTGGCAGGCCTCAGTGTGGTCTGGGGACCCCTGGGTATGCCTGAGACCCTTTCAGAAGGTCTACAAGGTCAAAACTATTTTCATATTAATACTAAAATGTTTTAATTTCAGATATGGTGGAAGTAACCCACATAAACAAGAGCTCCTTAGTAGATCCTCAGTGATTTTTTTAGGGGTATAAAGGAGTCCTGAGAAAAAGAATTTGAGATGTGCTGCCTTCGGGGAAGTTAACTTTAGCAGCAAAGCTAAAAGCTAAAGAATACTAAAGAGAGAATAGTAAGTAAGCTCTTTATGGCAGAATGAACGGCTTAGAAACAGATTTTATCCTCTTTTAATGGACATGGCTTAAGTCAGGCTTTGGTTTACTCAGGTTGTAGTCAGAGCAGGGTAGAAGACAGCATGGCCCTACTCATGTCTAAACATATTCTTTCTCTTAAATATCTCTCTTTATAGTGTTTCTCTGATTACCTACATTTCTTATAGAGCTTTAAATTGTATATAGTATTTGTTTTAAAAAAATTGTTTTGTTTGGGAAATTTTAGATGAGACTGCCATTTTTCAGTTAGGGATTTAACGTCTCTTGGAGCACAGACATTGTGTGATAACATATGTAGGAAAAAATGCCTTCACATGAAAATTTTCTTTGAATTTTCCTATAAACAAAATTTTATCATAAAGGTCAATCTAGGAAAAGTTCACACATAGCAAAAAAAAATTCTTCTGCATACTTGTTCCCAAAATTGTTCTGAAATTAGTGGAAAATAAAAGGTCAAGAGAAAACAAAAGAAGGTAAATACTGTATACTCACTGAGTTCTTGTCAACATTCAGTATGACTGATTAATTGTTTCCCATTTCTAAACCATGACGTGACTTCCACCACAAGTGGTACTAATGTGAACCTGCAGACACAAGCTTTCAGCAGACAGATGGCTCTTTGAGGACTGAGCCTGTGTGTTCTCTTTGCCCCTATCACCTAGTACAGTTGTAGACACATGTTAGGTGCTTAATAAATGCTGGTTGAATACTTATTGAAATCCCTTAAAGAAATAGGAAAATTCAACTGCAGAGCCAAGTCAATTCCACCCTACCTTAGTGATGCCAAATCCAAGGATTTTTTTTTTTTGGCAGGGGGAGTCCTGGACCTATGATTTTTTTTTTAAGTAGGGAACTTTTATGAGAAAACTCCCTCTATTGGTGATTGCAAATGAGCAACTTTTCCCAAGTTTATAGTTTGAGAGAGTCTTTGGGGCACTGGGGTCACATAGTATAAGGTCAGCTCACTAACTACTTTCAATAAACTTTCTCCTATGAAAAGATAACTAATAAAAGGACATATGTTTGAAACAAATAACTGGCAACATGAAGCAATGATAAATGCTAATTAAATAGTACAAAGGAAGAAGTACCAGACTCATTCAGAGGGCAGATCAGTTCTACAGAGGACTGGAGATATGAGCCATTAAACAATGGCTAGAATTTAGATAGGCAGAGAGGCGTGGGGAGGCGTTCCAGGCAGAGAAAATAGATCAGAGGTACAGATATGAGGAAGCTACGGGAATGTCCTGGGGATATTGAGTCAGAGCTATAACCGGCACCGGGCAAGGAGGCCTCTGCCTCAGGTGATGCTGAGTGTAGAGGGAGTAAAATTGGTCCCAAAGGCATGGGGAGGGAAGGGGAGAGTGATTCCTGATCTATACCAGGGAAGGGAAAGGTAGGAGAGGCAAGACCTCAACATTCCCAGTGGCTCTGATGGGTCTGGGGTAGGGAGTCAAACCTTCATCTGGTCCTCAGCACTCTCACATTGAGAGATAGATAACAAGGTCCAAAAGAAGAGCGCTAAACTTTCCATCCAGGGACTTGGGTCCAAATCCTGATTCTGCCACTACCAGCTATGTAATGTAAGTAAGCAATCCATCCCTACTGGGCCTCAGTTTCCTCTTCCAAAAAGTAAGAGAGTTGGACAAGATGACTTTCTAATGTCCCTTCTAGCTCTAAAACTGTGATCTTTTCTTTTCTTTTTTTTTTTTAAGAATTTCTTTTTGGAGGCAATCGGGGTCAAGTAATAAAACTATAATCCCAAAGGAAAAGAATAGTATTCCTATTACCTGTCCAATGAAATAAATGGCATTTTAAAAAAATTATTGTTGTTCAGTCATTTCAGTTGTGTCCAACCCTTCGTGACCCCATTTGGGGTTTTCTTGGCAGTGGTTTGCCATTTCCTTCTCCAGCTCATTTTTACAGATGAGGAAACTGAGGCAAACAGGGTTACATGACTTGCCCAGGATCACACAGCTATTCAGTGTCTGAGGTCATATTTAATTCAGGTCTTCCTGACTCCAGGCCCAGTGCTCTATCCACTGCAATCAGAGTCCTTACTTCACAAAATCTATTGACATTAAAAAAAAAAAAGCTCTGATTACTCCTTCTGTTGACATACAATGCAATATAATCTGAACTTTTCTGCTTCTGTCTATGGACGGCGAGACAGGAAAATGTGAAGCAGGTCATGGGAATATAGATTGAGAGCTGGGAGGGAACCTCGGAGACCCATTAATCTAATCAGTTCATTTTACAGATGAGTAAACTGAGGCCCAGGGAGATTAAGTGATTTGTCCAAGGTCACACAGACAGGAAGCATCAGAGGCAAGATTGAGTCCAGGGTCTCTGATTATAGAGCTGGTGTCCTTCCCACTGCCACACTTCCTCCTTTGAGAACTGCTAGGGCTGCAGAAGTGTGAGCAGAGAATTGAAGTGTTTTTTTGGACCGCACTACATCTCCAGTGGGGAAACAATGGTCCGAAAGGACCCTTCCAAATAGACAAATGTTCCTGGGCCTCCCCCCGGAACTTCATTTGGGGCTGAGAAGCGCCCTTCCTAGGAGCTTTCAGCAGCCATTCCAAAAGAGACCTCTTCATTTCTTTTTATAGTTCATGCAGCAGATGAGCGACCACCGCTACGACAAACTGACCGTGCCTGACGACGTGGCCGCGAACTGTGTGTATTTAAACATCCCCAACAAAGGGCACGTCTTGTTGCACCGAGCCCCGGAAGAGTACCCGGAGAGTGCCAAGGTAAATGGGAGCAGAAGCCTGGAGAAGCCCCACTGCCCTGGCTGGGGGATTTTCATGTCGAAGACCAGTCGCTAAATGACAAGAGTTCTCTTTCGTTAAACTTTCTAAATAAGCCTAGCAAATATTTCTTTTCAAAATGCCAGGTTTTCTAAAATTTTTGATAAACGTATATACTCATACAAAAGATATACTGTATAGAGGCAGCATGCCATGAGATCAGGAAGGTCTGAGTTCAAGTCCTGACTCAGGCACATATTAGCTATATAACCTCAGTAGCCTAAGTAGTTCTATTTTAAATAGATTATATTATTATATAATAGATTATAAAGAGTATATTGTTATATAATATATAATAGATTATAAATAGCAAAAAAGTTATTGAGTTGTGTCATGGTAGGAATTCCCTGCACTGATGAAATGTTTGTGTAGCGTATATATATATATATATATATATATATATATATATATATATATATATATATATATATATATATATATATATATGTATATATATATATGTATATATATATGTATATGTATGTGTAGTATGTGTGAAGCATGCATGTGTGCATGTGTACATGTGTAGATACAGGGTATTTCAAAGTCATAATAGGCACTTACTAAATAAATCCTGATTGACTAAGTCACTGGTTGTGTTCAAGGCTTTTCAAAGAAGCTTCTGGCTGGGGCGGGGGGGGGGGTAACTGTGGTTGTAATAAGAAGCACTCTAGATTTGAAATCAGACTGAATTTTAATCCTGCATCCGTCACTTACTATCTGAGTGACAAATAATAGGCAAATTACAGGCATAACATTTGTCTAGGGGTCGATTTACATACGTTACCTCACTTGAACGTCACAGTGGCCCCGTGAGGTAGATGCCACCTGTGTGAACATTTTATAGAGAAAGAAGCTGAAACCAAGATGTCTCCTGACTTCCCTCTTCCAAGTCCAGGCCCCCTTACACCACACTGCTCTTCCTCATCACAGTTCATTTCTCTTTGCTTGTTTCATCCATGCAAAGTGAGGAAACTGAGCAATGTGATCTCTCAGGTTTCTCCCACTTCTAAATCCTAGCATGTTCCATAATAAGAGGAATAAATTCAGCTCTAGCATTCTATGAATCTCTGAATATGATTCTCAGTGTGCTCTCTGTCTCTGTTACATAAATGTACTTCCAAAATGTAGGCATTCATTTTAAAATGGGTCTTTTTAAAGAACTTTGTTGTTTTATGGCAAATCTTTCCAAAAACTCCAGATGTCTTCTTGTGGTCACTTCAATTCAATTCCACAAACGTGTATTTAATTCCAAGGCACTCCATCAGGGATTGGGAATACGAAGATGGAAAGGGACTATCTGTGAATTCAAGATGCTTATCTCTAATACTGGGAGTAGGACATAAATATAAATAAGGGAGTTATAAGGTTGAATGGGATGTGAGAAGAGAGAGAACCAGGAAAGCTACTATGGGAACTTTCCAAGAATCACTGGATTTGAGAAGGGATCTCAACAGTCATCTGGTCCAAAGGAATCACCATGGTGATACAGCCTCTGCAGGAAAACCTGCCCAGAAGAGGAACCCATCCTCTCTCAAGGCATGCCATTCCACTCTCAGACAGCTTTTGTTGTGAAGAAGGCTTTCCTAACATCAAGCTTAAATTAACCCCTTTGCAACTTTTCTCCAGGCTCTGCACTCTAGAGCCCAACATAACAAGTCCAGTGCCTTGGAAGCTTAAAGACAACTATCATGTCATTTCCTCTCTCTCCCCAAATTTTCTCTTCTCTAAGCTAAAGATGTCCAGTTACTTCAACCAGTTTTCATATGATATGGACTCAGAGTCCTTCACTATCTTGGTTGTCCTCCTCTGGACACTCTCTAGATTAACAATATCTTTTTTTAAAATTGCATTTAACTAGAGAGAGAAAGATCACTTGCATTTGGGTGGCATGGAATAAGAAGGAAGCTGAGATGATCACATCTCAATAGGGCCTTGAAAAGAGAGATGGATTTCAAAAGATAGAGACAAAGGGTAGAGCTGAGAGTAGGCTACATCAGGAACAAAGACCGGTATGTGGGAAAGGACAAGACAGAAATTAGGGTCACACAAGTCTGCTTTGGCTGGGATGCCATGGAGAAGAGTAAGACATAAGGCTGGGTGAATAAGTTAGGGTAATGAATTCCAGAATCATAGTTTATACATCAGGTGATAGAGATCCATAGAAGGTCTTTGTGTAGATCACGGCAGACTGGGAGAGGAGGAGGTTGGTGGTAGCATCAACAGAAATGGAGAAGTTGAGAGGCTAGGTAGGTTAGATGGGGGTGGGAAGGATAGATCTGATTTTAGACTTGCTAAGTGGAAGTGATGGTGAGAAATCCCTGGAATTATCTAATAGGCAATTGGAAATACAAGACTGGAGCTCTTGGGAGAAGTTTGGGATAGAAGTATAGCTATGTGAGTCAATTAATCATCGAAGCTATGGGAGTAGATCAGATAATAATGGGAAAGTTGAGAGAATAAAGGGAGTCTAGTTAAGCACTTCTTAGACTGTGGGTTGCAAGGGGTTGAGACCCATTGTTTAAGAAGTGCTGAAGGGGTCATGAGTGGATAAAGTTTAAGAAGCCCTGGAACAAAGCCTGGGAAACACCCATTTTTAAGCATAACATATGTCTACCCCCAATGTAAAAGCATGTGTTGTAAGTTGTCTGAATATTTAGATGCTGCAAGAGTAGTATGAGGAGATATGATTTGAGGTCTCACTCTGCAGAAAGGAGGAGAGACAAGGGCTATGCTGTCATCACCAGCACCCTAGCTGGAGGGAGGGCCTAACAGGGTCCAGGACAGCTGAGGCTGAGCAATCTCTCCTGTAGTCTCCAAGAGGAGTATTGGGCTACAATTATAGATCAACCTACCACCCCTCAAATATCTCTGTCCTAGGCATGCAATAGGTCCAGAACAAAAGTCACTCCCCTGATCACTCTTAAGGGGGAGGGTAGCCCTTAGCTCACACTTGCCAGCTTAGGCCCTCTTCACCAAAAGCTAGTTACACAAAAGACTAACACAAATAATGATCCCATTTTCCAAGCAAAAAAGCAAACAGAAATTGGAGCAGTTCTACACATTAGAATATGCCAAAGGAGACACAAGTGTAAATGAGCTCTTCATTTGACAGGAAGATAAGACCTCTGCCTAAACCAGGAGAGGGAGAATGACCTCACCCAAGGAGGTCCTCTCTCAGCAGTCTCTAGAATCATAGGCCCTACGGTTTAGGAACATGATGGATGTACATGTCTGCAGCTTGGCGCACTGCCATCTGCTATTCAAAGTCTTTCTCAATCTCCTCACCTATAGGGCTCCCTTCTGTGTCTCTCTGAAGAATGTCTCATGCCAACACAGTAAGTCCCTTACAAAGGTATCAACATTCCCTCTGCTAATCAGGAGTCACATCTTCCTCCACATACAAAACAGCACGAAAAACCATCCCAGGCTTGGTTGGAAGGTTACACAAGGAATAAGAGGAAGGTAGGGAGCCTTCAGGAGAAAATCTAGAATGCAATGCTAGAAAAACTAAAGGAAAAAAGAGCATCAAGCAGGAGAGAGTACCTGAAGTATCAAACACAAGTCAGAGTGAATGAGGCCAAAACAGAAACCATTGGATTTTGGCAACAAGCTCATTTGTGACCTTGGGAAAAATTGTTTCAATAGGAGGAAAGACAGATTACAAGCAGCTGTGGAGTAGAATGGTGAGGAGTTAGAGGCTGTATAATCTACTGTTTCCAAAAGTTTTGCAGTGAATGGGCATGAGAAAGCAAAGGAAATTGTTTGGAAGAGAATGAAGTTCAACCAAAATTTTGTTTTGGCAGTAGGAGGAATACCAAGTGTATTTGTAAGCTGTAGGGAGAAAGATTTAAGTTGTATGGAGATGGAAATGATTAATGTAGCTGGGTAATGAAAATAAATCTTGGGGATGGGATGGGATTGAGATGGGATGAGATGGGATGGGATGGGAGGGGATTGAAATGGGATGGGATGGGATAGGTTGGGATGGGATTGAGATGGGATATATGGGATGGGATGGGATTGAGATGGGATGAGATGGGATAGGATGGCATGGGATGGAATGGCATTGAGATGGGATGAGATGGGATGAAATGGGATTGAGATGGGATGGGGATGGGATGGAATGGGATTGAGATGGGATGGGATGGGATGGGAGGGGAGGGGATTGAAATGGGATGGGATGGGATGGGATAGGATGGGATTGAGATGGAATGGGATAGAAGGTACAGATAAAGACACTAACTTGAGTAAGCATTTACTAAGCATCTGGTATATGTCAGACACTATGCTAAGTGCTGAGCATACAAAGACGATAGTGAAACACTCCCTGCCTTCAAGATGGTTACAGTCCATAAAAAGATACAACATGAACATAGATGAGCATATTAAAAAAAAAAACCACAAGGTAAATTTGGGGGGCATTAACAGCTAATGGGGGAGCATTAGAAAAGGCCTCACGTATGGCACTGAGCAGAGTTGTGAAGGAAACAAAGGATTCTGAGGAGGGAGTACATTGGGCAGTGCAAAAGTGAGGAGATAAAAGATGGAGTATCTCACGTGAAGAACAACAACACGGCCAGTTGGGCTCAGACTTCCAAGCAGCGTGAGTGTCCTAAGGAGACAGTGTGGTCACAGACAGCATTTCACATAACCAGAAGCTACATTTTCCAAGTGGCAAAAAAGCAGTACTCCATCAGAAGGATGAAGGAATGAAAGCTCCTGGCTGTCTCATTTATGCACCATAGCTAGCTGAAAAGTCCCTCTGTGTCTAAGGGGTCTCTAGATCTGTACTCTCAGGAATTTTCCCAAGGGCAGCACTGGAATTCCCTTCCCAATCCAAGAATTTTCACTTGACTTCAAGGCATGGGTTTTTTTTCCCGGCTTTTGTAATTTCTGGTTAATCCTGTTAAGCAGGAATCACTGCATATCTGGCTTTCTGACTCATAATCCTTTTAACTGTCAAACTGTTCACATGCCTGAAGGCTTTGTGCAAGAAGTATCCTTATATGCTCCCAGAAAATCAAATAAAATATTTCCACCAAAGAGAATAGGAAGAATAATACAGTATAAAATTCTAAAGCAACCACTGAATTTTGTTTCTTGACATCTTAAGTTACAGGAATATATTCAAATATTTCCTCATACTATGTCATTCTTAGACTAATTCACACTATTCAGTTAATCAGTAAGCATTTATTAAGAGCCTGCTATGTCCCGGGTGCTATGCTAGGCCCTGGCAATACAATTATAGAAGGAAGAAAGTGCTTGCTCTCAAGACACCTACACTCTACTGGAGCCCTAAAGTAGTTTCCACCCATATCCCAACCACCCCTGCCTTTTCTTAGTAGCAAAAACTAAAGGTTAGGGGATTGGGCAGGTAAATATTTGCAATTGCTAAAATGAGTGAGGCCTGGGCAAGCCAGAAGGAACACAGCTGGTAGCAGAAGTTTATTCTTCTCTCTGGTTACTAACTCTAAATTTTCCGTAATCTTCACCAGCCTTTTAACTTGTTCTGTCCAAGATCTTACAGTGGCTTCTCCTGCTGCTGTTCACCCAAGAAATTGGCTAGGTCTCTAGATTTGCAGTCACTCCCTATTCCCTATTATAGAATTATAACCATATGCAGTATTCCTGTTTCAAAATTCTTTTGCTTGCTATCACCCAAAAATGTATTTTTATTTTATTTATTTTTTTTTTTAGTGAGGCAATTGGGGTTAAGTGACTTGCCCAGAGTCACACAGCTAGTAAGTGTCAAGTGTCTGAGGCCATATTTGAACTCAGGTCCTCCTGCCTCCAGGGCCGGTGCTCTATCCACTGTGCCACCTAACTGCCCCCCAAAAATATACTTTTTTGAAAACAATGGCAGTGGCAGCAGCCACTCCAGAGAGCAGTGCTCCCTGGTGTTTTGTCTCATTGGAGGTAGGGTGGGTGGATTGATTTTGTTTTTGCAAAATGCTATTACATTTTGTAAGATTAATTTTTTTTTAATGCTTGCACTTTCATGATATTTCCACCAGTGTAGTTATAAATTTCCGGTTTGATACCTTGTTCATCTTAGTGTCAGATAATGCTCAGCTGCCCTTTTAAAACTAACGGATGGAAATCCATCATCTAAATCAGGGATTTTTAACTAGTTGGCTTCCTTTGTCATCCTCTGTGTTTTATTTTATGCATTTAAAAGCATTATTCTGGGGGGAGCTAGGTGGCCCAGTGGATAGAGCACCAGCCCTGGAGTCAGGAGGACTTGAGTTCAAATCTGGCCTCAGATTTGACACTTACTAGCTGTGTGACCCTAGCCAAGTCAATTAACCTCGATTGCCTCACCAAAAAAACAAAACAAAAAGAGAAAAAACGTTAATCTGAGAAGAGGTCCATAGACTTCCCCAGACTGCCAGAGGGGTCCAGGGCATAAAAAAAAAAGATACTCCTGATGTAAATGATGTTTTATTTTCTAGCAATATAGGTAGAGAAATATCAAAATAAAGTTACTTCTCTCTAAACAGATTAAAATTCACTCCAAAATAGGGACTCACATGTTCACTTAAGTCACCTCTAATGGAATGGTGAGGAAAAGGTAGTTATTTCTAATAACCGTGGAGCTACACTTCTGACACAGGCCAGCCCCCATACCCGGATCATTTAGTGACCAGCCTCTTGGCAATGAACTTCTATTCACCCTTGGCTAGGCTGGTCCTTGGAAAATAAATTCCAGGATCCATAGAGTCCAGGATGCTATGTGTGTTACAGTTTGCCAGAGCCTATAAGCACACCCTACAATAGCCGTTGAGAAGCCATGATGGCCCAGGATGAGATATCCAATCCAAATACGACTCTCTAATAAACTCATGCAATTCCCTCTTCAGTCATTCCCCTCAAAGCCTTTTTCTAGGACACACATCTTGAGTTTGAAATGATGGCAGGGCATCCCCAGTGGAAATGTCCAGGAGGCTGATGGAGATATGAGACTGGAGCTTGGGTAAGAGATCAAAGGTGGTGTAGAGATTTGAGTCATATTCAGAGAGGCACTAATCGAACTGGAGATCCAATCAGTTCTCTGACAAGGAATGTAGAGAGATAAGAACTGAGAAACCTAAGAACTGAGCCTTGGGGAAACTCACATGGTTAGGGAAAGCATGGTGGGGGGAGGGGGATTAGACTTGAGGTGATTGACTAGAAGGAAATAATCGAGAAAGAAAACTTGGAGAAATATTGAATTCAACCAAGAGCAAAAACTGTTGGAGCAATAGCTGGTTGAACCATGACCAGATGAAAGCTGGGGCCTTCTAGGAAAACAAGACTAGTTCAAGAGACTCTTGATTCAAATAACTCCCTCTCACACCCTCTACTTTCTCATCAAAGTCTACTTTCTACCATTCTAGGCAAACTGGCCTATTTGCTGTTCTTTGGACAAGACAGCCATTTCCCATCTCTACCTTTGCCTAACTGGTCCTCCATGTCTGAAATCTCCTGGAACTCTAACTTTCTTCAAAGCAGAGTACAAGCCTTTCTGCCAGTTACTAGCACTATCTGCCTCTTAAAATTACTTTACATTAATTCCCACATGGATAGGTTATATTACATGTGCACAAGATGTATGTCACCCCCCCTCCTCTCCTCTCCCTTTATTGGCAGGGACCATTTTGTGTTTGTCTCCTTACACCCATACCTACCACGGTACCTTACAAATAGTAGATACTTGATAAATGTTGAATTGAATGATAGTAAAGTGATTTGCTTTCTCAAAATGACTTCCTGAAAAGGTGATCATTTTATGAATGGACTCCCTTCTCATCTCTCCATTCACAATCCTGTCTTCCTTCAAGGTTCTGCTTAGACATCACCTTTTCCATATAGACCCAGTCTCTTTCAGCTAAAAGTATTATTTTACTCTTCAAAATTTGCCCTAGCAAAGGGGTTCTTAACCTGAGGTCTGTGATTTTTTAAAAAAGCGTATTTTGACAACTTTCAATATAATTGGCTCTCTTCGTTAGCCTAAATATTTTATTTTATGCATGTAAAAACAAAGGGATCCATAAGCTTCACTGGAATGCCAAAAGGATCCAGGACTCAAAAAAAGGTTAGGAATATTGTTCTGTGACACTTTGATATCTTCTCCGACCCCATTATTCCCTGTTTTGTGTTAAACATAGCCATTCTCTTATCACATCTCCCCCAATAAAAGGTGAGCAAGCACCTTCAAGGCAAGGATCATAGGATGAGACATTGAGAGACGTAAGGGACCCCAGGGGTCATCTAGTCCAATCTTATAGATGAGGAAATAAGCCCAAGGTCACACAATGTGGTCAGCAGTGACCCAAGAGTCAAATTCAGGTTCTCTGACTCAAAAACTAGCATTTTTCTATCTGTATACGTCTAGCACCATGCCTTACACCTAGTATGTACTTAACCAACACTGAATTGAATTATAACACATTCTTGGCTTGAAAAAGAATATAGGGATATCTACTACACCCCCTAGCTACCTCAAAACAGCAAGTGGCAAACCACTGTATCAGTTCTGTGAGTAAGGGGTGTATGTGTGTGTGTGTGTGTGTGTGTGTGTGTGTGTGTGCATGTGTGTTTCACCCATACCTTGGTGTGAAGTGAATGGCAGGATTATTCATATACACTGATTTAAATGCTTGCATGTTTTATTGCACTGATAATCTTTTGATTCAAGATAAAATAAGGGTTAAAAGGTATTCCCCAAAATATGTGATTCTCTTTCTAAATCTTTCCATTTATTCCCATGATAGGTGTTTGAAAAACTGAAGGATCACATGCTGATACCTGTCACCAACACAGAGCTGGAAAAGGTGGATGGACTACTCACCTGTAGTTCAATTTTGATTAACAAAAAGGTAGATGTGTGAGTCCACAGGCTTGCCTCCTTGTCACTGGCAATAATATACACGCAAGACCGACGACTCTGTACCCAGTCTTGTTTTGATTGACAATCTACTGTGCCACGATGCTACTAATCTGTGTTTACAAAAGTTAATTCTCATTTCCATTCTGTTTTGTCATTTGCTTCTCTCTCCACCCTAGGTGGTACTTAAGCTGCGGATTTGATAGCTGAATAAGAAATATAAGTCTTAACAAACTATTAAAACTTGATTGGAGCAATGGAAGCACTCATCTTAATGACTTAGAGAAAATCCTTTGAGATGCCAGTATATTCAGAAGAATGTCTTGATCAGATAATCTCTCTTTTCTATATATCATCTACATATAGTAGGATTCCTACAGAATTTTTTCCTCTTTCTTCTCTCTCTCTCTCTCTGTCTCTCTCTCTTCTCCTCTCCCTTCCCTTCCCCTCCCCTTTCTCTCTCTCTTTCTCTCTCTGTCTCTCTCTTTCTCTCTCTGTGTCTCTCTTCTCCTCTCCCTTCCCTTCCCTTCCCCTTTCTCTCTCTCTCTCTCTCTCTCTCTCTCTCTCTCTCTCTCTCTCTCTCTTCTCTCTCTCTTCTCTCTCTCTGTCTCTTTCTTTCTGTCTCTCTCTGTCTCTCTCATTTTTTGATTTTGCCCTCCAATAACTTTTGCCTTTTTTTGTTCCCCTAGCACTTAGTACAGCACCTGACACATAGTAGGCACTTTAATGTTTAGTGATTATTGACTACACTAGATCTAGAGCTGGAAGGAACCTCAGAGGCCATTGTCCAATGCCCTCATTTTACAGATGAGGAAACTGAGGTCTTCTCTCTTGTTTTTTGTTGTTGTTGGGGGTTTTTTTCACTTTTGTCTTCATGTTTTCCCCTCTCCTCTCATGGCCACTTTGACATTGACTCATCTTGGGCCTCTGGGTAGTAAAGCTTTAGCCAACACACCGCCATGCAATTCCACTCTGGCCTCAATACAATCTGCCTCACTATTACAACTTCTGCCTTAAGGAATGGGCAAATGGGCTCCTGAGCAGAATTACAACCAAAATCTGGGTGGCAGCTTGGGAAAGCATTACTATGCAGAGGTGCACCAAGACAGGGCTGGCCCCAGAGATTCAAATTCCAGAAGAGTTAGAGGTCCACACCTACACAAGCTGCAACCTAGTCTTCTGATGATAACTCAGATTCCCTGCATGAAAAGTCAAGTGACTATGGCAAGTCTAAGCATTAACATGCTGAGTAGAGACGAGGGGAACCAAAAAGAGATGTCTTGGAGATACCATACTAACTTTGAATCTTACAAATTCTTTGTGAGGGTATTTACATTTCCATGCTCTTGCCCCCTTGCGGGGCTCCCCAACACTCCAGTGAATATGTGATCTCACTGAGGTGGGTAGTCCCTTCCCCAGGATAAAAGTCTCAACCCATTCATTTCTGCCCATTCCTGTGACTCTTGTCTATATCCTCCCATAAATCTGCCACAGGGATCCAATTTGACATGCTAAGCGATTCTTTCTCATATGGGAATCCAGATCATTTGGGGGCATATTTTTTAAAATTTAAAAAAAAAAGGTTTTCTTTTCCTTATTTATTAGATTCCTATTTCTGTCCTCCTTGTCTCTTCCAAGAGTCTGTTAGAAAAAATGAAGCGTGCTATTTCCCCCCAAAAAAAGAATAACATCCAAAAATGAATGTGCATACCAGTGACATAACTCAAAGAGAATGGAGCATCATATCCTTGACAAAAGAAGTGATTGAGCAGTCCCTACATGGCTAACTTGGACTTGAGACCAGCTTCACATAATAGACAATTTTGTTTTCCAAACTTCCATGAATATTTACAATGGAATTCAATAAAATACCATTTCTCCTATAACTCTCAGATTGCACAATTTCAGACTGAGTCACACAGCACAAAGGAAAATACTACAGTGAAGTAAGAAGCCACTGTCTTTTTTCTTCAACTTGAAAGAGTCTGCCCCTACACAGATGAGGGAAATGGTATTGTCCATGGAATGGTGGCTGATTTCAACATGTTATTAACTTCCTAGCCATCTCCACCTTTCCTGTGGATTTGGGATAAGGAAAATTCAGAAAACACTCGTTACATTCTTATTCTGTTCAGCTATTTCTTCCTTGCTAACCTACATGTTTTTACTCAATCAGCGAAAAAGACATAACTGCACCCTTATTCATCCTTGTCTCCCTCACCCATATGGAACCACCTACAAATATTTTAGCTAGACTATTCAATGGCCCTTTTAGCAGACAGCAGGAAGAACTCGACCTTGAAAAACCACTAAGAAAACAAAGACATGTCATCCTCCACTTGGGCCTACTTATCTTCTCCAAATCCTCATTGCTCAACTTTTTAATTCTTATCATATGCAGACATTGATCATGTACATCCTGTAAATGAAACATTTGCTGGTCATTGTTACATTTCAAGTTGTCAGAGGTGAATAATCCCAAATTCAAATCAAAATAGAGAAGTACCATACCAACAAGGGAGAGAATATTGACCATATATTGAGGGAGGCAAGAAGGAACTTGAACCCAATGGAAATGGTTAACCCCTTCATGTCAAATCTGGCCAGAGACAAAAGAAGGACTGACTTTAAGAGTTCTATTTAAGAAAGAAAGGGAGAAAGAAAGAAAGAAAGAAAGAAAAAGAAGAAAGAAAGAAAGAAGAAGAAGAAAGAAGAAAGAAAGAAAGAAGAAAGAAGAAAGAAAGAAGAAAGAAAGAAGAAGAAAGAAAGAAAGAAAGAAAGAAAAAAGAAAGAAAGAAAGAAAGAAAGAAAGAAAGAAAGAAAGAAAGAAAGAAAAGAAAGGAAGGAAACTTAATAAGTAAGCTTAATTTAGTAAGAATAATTTCTATTACCTCCATCCAGTATCACAATTTGATGACCTTGTACCCCTGTCTCTTTTTAGTCAATTGCAAGGTGAATAGAATTCTCTCCTCTGAACCATCTATTCCCTAGAATTTCATTTTGTTCTTCCTCTCTTCTCCTTTTTTCTCCTCTCCCTCTATCTCAAGGAATGACTTAAAATTGGGGCACCTCTTCCCCAGAGCCTCATCCTGAATTCTTAAATAAACCTCTGCATCACACATTACATTTCCCTTTTCTGATGCTCTGTGTGACCTGCCTGTTGTGGATATTTAAAATATCCACAGAACATATAATATTTCTTTGATACCAGCCACATAACATCCCCCACACTGGTTGATGATGAATTTGTAAGGACAGACAAACTGTACCAAAAACTCCCTTTGACACAATCAAGTCAGTGTTTTATTCAAATAGAAATTTCAGACAGAATTACTTAACCAGCAAAATCAAATCAAATAAGTGGAATACGAAGAAATTTCTTTATTTCTTCAGGGTTTTTTCAGTTGTGGCAGGTAACTACAGAAACCAACAAACACAGATCTATTATGAGTTATTTTGCTCTTTTTTATCTACTGTGAACAGACTATTAAGGCCATCTCTTCACCTTATGGGAAAAAATATATAGTAGATGAATAATGTAACTTATATAGAGTTGCATGTAAATCTTTATAATTATTCACCACTTAGTATTACATTGTTGTACAGCTTGCAGATAGAATTGCAATATGACTCTAGATGTGGTCAGTCTCTCCTGCTGATCACATCCTTCCAGCCAGTATATTGTTAGCCTCTTTTTGTGTGCCAAAATCATAAATGCCCTAGTCCTTTAGACCAGAGAAATTCTGCACTGATTTTAGTCTCTTGCAATTCCAGTCTTCGATGTAAACCAATTATTATGGAATAAAGTGTCCGTTGTGCTGCAAATGGTGTTGAGTTTTCATTTGTGATGGAAAGTGTCATGAATCAGAGATTCATTCTCAAAGTCATTAAGAGATATCAAAAATAGGGGCAAGGGAGGGGCTTACATTCCTTACATTCTCCTTCTTTAAGGGATATATGCTAGTGTACTACATGGGTTCTGTGATCCCATTCATGTAGATATTTCCTCCAACAATGCAAATCCCAACCCATCCATGCCTGCCCATCCTGACACAGATTAGAAATACCTGTATAGCAACTAGGATAAGAATCTTCGAATCACTTTTGAAGTTATGATTCACTCTTCAGGCATTTAAAAATTATACACACTCATAAAATGCTATAGTGGAACAGGGGGGAAAAATCATTTTGACATGACCATAGATGTCCCCTGAATTACTGCCTCTGATATCCATTTCCTTCAAGTAGCACTAGGTATATCATGAAGGTGCATTATATAAGCAATAAAACCATTCCTCCAGTGCCCACATAATAACTTCTGACAATAGGAGAATCTTCCTGTTAGAATGAGATGCAAATGGATCCTTGTCAACTATGTGCCTGAGATACCCTCTGCTCCTCAAGGTCTTGAGGCTGTTTGTGGATAATCAGGTGTCTTTGCAGCTTGCGAATCAGTTCAAGTTAATTTCATCCTGTCAAGAATAAGGGGTACAAATGAACACCAACCCAAGCAGGCATCCTTTAGGGAAAAGTTCATTTTCTCTCTTGCCCTCTAAGTTGGGGTAAGTAGATTTATTCTCCCTTATTTGTGTTGCAAACAGGTTTATGTCCTCAATAAAAACATAGAAAGACCCAAAATCCTATAGGGACTGAACTTGTGACTTCAGTGGTATAAGGAACACCAAGGACACTCCATCTGCCAATCCAGTATGGCACCTTCCCTGCACTTGTAGTAGTAGAGAATTTGCACTCTAGAATGCTGAGAGATTGAGTTACTTACCCAGGGTCACACTGCCAGTGTGGGCCAGAGGCAGGACCTTTACTTACACCTTGGCTTCAAGGCTATCGCTGCTTCTGGAAAAGACATGAGGAAATGATGTTGAAGAAAAAACTGTAAAAATCCATTAAGTCCATATAGCAAGAAGCAAAGGTCATAACCAACAAGAGAAGAATGAGGAAAGAAAATGGAGAAAGAAGAAAACCCTTAACATGGTTGGCAAAACAGAGTCTCACACCCTTTATTTACCCAGTCACTCCCCTAGTCCTGGCCCTCATTGCCTCTTATCTGCACTATTGAAAGAACCTCTTAGTTAGTCTTGCCAATCCATTCTCCACAAAACTGCCGGTATGATTTTCCTAGTGAACATATCTGACCATTCTGACTCTCCTATTCACTATTGAGTCCCTTTTGCTTCTATGGCCAAATACCAACTCCCCACTTTGACTTTTAAAGCTCTTTGAAACTTGGCCCCAACATACCTTTGCAGCT